CTTCCGCATGAGTTCGATTCCCGCCTGCCCCGGAGGTGACCACATGGCGCGGCAGACCTCTCCTGACCGGCCCGCTGCTCCCCTCAGCAGTGTACTTCATCAATCTGCCTGTTCTGCTCCCCGCTCTGTCTCTGGTGAAGCCTCTCACCCTCCGCATCTCTGGCCTGTACCCTAGTTCTGTACAAATAAATAAATAAATCTTTAAAAAAAAAAAAACCATTTAACAAGGTTATGAAAATAACCCTCGATAAAATGGGTATAAAGAAATACTCCTCAACATAATAAAGGATTATATAACAAACCCAAAGCCAATATCATACTAAATGTTGAAAAACATTTAAGATCAGGAACAAGACAAAGATGTCCCCTCTCACTTTTTGACATATTATTGGCAAGAGCAATTAGTAAGACAAGTGTATAAAAGTATTCAAGTTTTTTAAAGGAGAAATAAAACTATCACTATATGTAAATTATATGACAATATATGAAAATCCCAAAGACTCAAATAAAAATGTATTAGAAATGATAACTAAAATGATGGGCTACAAAATTAAATTACAAAATCAATTAACTTGCAGAAAGAAAAATCAGTAAAATGATGCTGTTTACATAAAAAAGAATTAAACACCTCAGAATACTTCAGCAAAAGAAGTGAAAACCTGTACACCAAAAACTATGAAATGGTTTAAAGAAGCAGAAGACACTCAGACAGGAGAGCTTTACCATGTTCATTAGGTATAAATGCCATCATTAAAATGTCCATCTTACCTAAAGCAACATACAGATCCAATGTAGTCACTATCAAAATCACAAGGGCATTTTTCATATGTATAGAACAAAATTTCCTGAATTTATTTGAATTACATAAGACCTTAAATAACAAAATTACTCTTGAGAAATAAAGAACAAAAGTGAAGGTACCAGCCTCCTGGACTTTAAATTACAAAGAGATAGTAATTAAAACAGTTGGTATTGGAATATACAACACACACATTGGTCAATGGAATAGAATTGAGAGGTCATCAATAAAACAACACACACAGACAGCCATCTTACCACAAAGAAATCAAGAGCTTACCATGGAGCAAGAAAAAACCAGCCTTGCATTCAGCCATGTAAAAAAAAAAAAAAGATATACACACTCTCTATACACAAAAATTAACTCAAAATGGATTAAAGATTTGGATGTAAGACTGAAACCATAAATATCAATACATAGAATAAAACATAGGCAAAACCCTCCACGGCATCGGTTCAGCGATGTATTTGGTGACTTGACTCCAATGGTAAGGAAAATAAAAGCAAAAATAAACAAATATGACTACATCAAACAAAAAGCTCTTGTACACAAAAAGAAACATCAAAATGAAAGGACATCCTACTTGTTGGGGCTCATAGGGTTAAAGGCTCAGTCTCTCCCTATACTAGTAGACAAGGATGAGAAATTTTGAGCCAACTTGGGGAATCGAAGTTACCATGGGAACCAGGCTAAGAGATCTTGAGCAGATAAAGGAACCAAAAGATGGTTATTAAAACAGGGCCATGAGGCCCACCTGTGGGCATTAAGGGCTGCTGTAAATTTTAAATGCTGAAATGAGTTAGGGCCTGATATTTTAGTAGACAGTATGATTAAAGACCTAGGTCCTTAATCATAGAGATAGTCTACAGATGCAAGTATAAGAAAAAGTCAAACTTTTCTTTCAGGGTTCTGGCAAACACTTTCTCCCCTCACCCCTGCTTCTCTGCAGTAATTCAAATAAATCTTCCTTTTCTACTTTCCATACTGGTGAATTCTTTCATTCCCATAGCCCAGTATCCCTTCACCGCAGCTGATCGTCCTCACATGGCAGTGTGAAAGGCATTACTGAAAGAGAGAGGCATTTGTATATTTGTTCTTTTCAAGAAAGGGTTAATTTTCAAAGTATACAGGTAACTTACAAAACTCAAAAATCTATAAACAAACATGATTTAAAAATGGGCAGAGGATTTGAATGGGCACTTCTCTGAAGAAAAAAAAGAAAAAAACTATGATCAACACAAAACAGGGCAACAGAAGGTCTATAGCAGATCAGAAGACAGTGCCTGTGGGAGACATGTCACACTGTCTGTGAGTTCTTCACCTGTGCACAGTTGCAAGACCACACAGGCTTAGAAAACAAAAGTGGGATTTATTTAACTAAGAGGGAAAACAAATTTTCTAAAGACACTGGTGGCTGGCTATCTCACCCCAAATAGTGTCTAATGTCCAGAAATCCCAAACAAAAGCCCGCTCATCCAAGAGTGTGCTGTCCCATCAAAGTGAGCCTGCAGCTGCTGGCAACTATCCAGGATCCAACTTACCACAGTCGGAGATGCTCACAGGTGGGGCCACGGAGATGATGCCACAGAAGTCCATAGCAAGGCTGGGATGTACAACACTGGATGCTGGACCAGAGAGCAACAGAGGCAGCACATAATAAACAGCTCTTAGGTACCTGGGACTTAGAGCACCAGTCTCCCACACCAGCAGTGCTGGTCATCTGGCCCCTCAGAGGTGTTGACCCGCACTAACAACGAACAACTCTGAGACACCAGGCCTGGGGCATTTGGTGCTCCTTTCAGGCAGTGTCAAAGGTAGGAGGTCAGCTTCCGTTGGAAGTCAACCTTTGGATGCTTCTTTCTTTTGAGGCCAGGAACAGGGACTGTCCCTCTCAAGCATAGAATTCGAGTCAGAAAGCATGTAAAAGTGTTGAAAGAGCCAAGCTAATTCCTGCCATCCCTTCTATCCTCTTCCAGGGTTTCCCCCACGACTTACAAACCTGATTGGCGGCTTTCAATCCTATTGCTGATTGGACCATTTACCAAAAATCTCACAGCTTGCATCTTATTGGTCCATTTCTCTTCTAGGCACTAAATCCATGGGCCTCCCTATTGCCTGCAGCTGGAGGGAGCCTCAGCTTTGGAGCTGGCCCAGTGGGGCCTCAGATTCCCCCTGGTGTCCCTGAATCAGGGTCTGCATGCCCTCGAGAGGTGTGATAAGGGAACCACAGACGCCCACAATCACTGCTGAACTTTGCCTGTAGCCTGGACCCCAGGGGCCAGTGGTGAAGGGCAGTAAAATGTCCTCTACCTGCTGCCACTCACACTGCTCAACAGCAGTTTCTGGGGCTAGATGTTGGTCCTTCTCCCCAGCCTGTACTGAGGGGCTCCAGTTTCAAATAGGTAACATAAAAAGATGTTCAGGCCCTCCCTGGTGATGCAGCGGGTTAAAGCACAGCCCTAAGAAGCTTAAGCCACTTCCACATGAGTTCAATCCCCTCCTGCCCCGGAGGAGATCCACATGGCTTGGTAGACCTCTCCTGACCCGCCCCCTGCTCTCCTCAGCAGTGTACTTCGTTTATCTGCCTGTTCCGCTCCCCACTCTGTCTCTGGTTAATCCTCTCACCCTCTGCATCTCTGGCCTGTACCCCAGTTTTGTATAAATAAATAAATCTTTAAAAAAAAAAGTTCATCATCTTTTTTTAGAAAGATGTAATCAAATAACAATGAGATAGCACCACAAACCTATGAAAATGACTATTATGTGAAAGCCAGAAAAACAAGTGTTGGAGGGAAGAGAACCCTTATACATTATTGACAAGAATGTAAATTGGTCCAAGCATTATGGAAAGCTGCATGGAGAGTTTTCAAAAGTTAAAAAAGTAGAAAATTCCATACAATCTGGTTATTACATTTCTGTATTTACCTGAAAAATACAAAATCACTAATTCAAAAAGATTTATGCACCCCATGTTTATTATAGTATTATATACTATAATAATGAGCTAAACACAACCTAAGTGCATCCATCACCTACTTACTAGTGGGTAAAGATGTGGCTTATATGCACGATGGAATACTACACAGCTATTAAAAAGATGAAATCCTAGCACGAGCAATAACAATTAGAGATATCATGTGAAATGTAGTAAGCCAGATGGACAAACTGTGTGACCTCAATCACATGTGATACATGGAGAAAACAATCAGATCAACTAAAGAAAGGGAAAATAAACTGAACTATAAGGTCGATTCATGCCTACCTAAGGGAAAGGGTAAATGAGTGGGTAAGTTGTGATAAATTGGACATTCCTATGTGAAGTATAGAATAGGCTGTTCAGTGGTGAATTTAATGTAGTATATATACATGTTGAGGCTCAATGATGAACACCTGAAACTCATAAAGTTATGATACAATATTACTTCAATTAAAAGAGAGAAAGGAAGTTAAAACTGAAAAATTAAAAAAAGATTGTGGTTTTCAACCTTGAGGTGACAATGGTATCACTTGAGAAGTTAAGAAAAAGTATACTGATCAAATTTTCCCTCCAATTTTTATTTCACTTATATGGGCATTATGACTTTTAATATATTCTCAGGTGACTCCAACCTATTAAAACCACTACATTAGACGACTGTCAAGAAAACTTTTTAAAAGTCTTTTATACTCACCTAATTTTCAGATTTGAACACATTTTTTTTTAACTTAGAGAGGTTTATATAAAAGAGAAAGATCAAAGCTGTCAATTTGAAACAATGACTGAAAATCCTCCACTCTCCTACTTCCCCTGCCAGCTTCAAGCAACCACTATAAGTTTCTTTGGCTTTTAAAGAAAAGGCCTATATACATACCTACACAGTGTATCTCAAGAAATAATTTCTATTTCCACTAAAGAGAATGTACTACACTACATGTAGTAGCATACATGTTGCTTTTTAGCATTCACTACATAATGGAAATTGTTTTTTGAGTATCTCGCTGCAACATAACTCACTAGCCTAGTAGACTAATATGTTATTTAACCGTATGCCCTATTAAGGGTCACTAGATATTCCTTCTTTATAATAAGCATCCTTATACCTGATTATGTAGTAAATACACGCACATCATGACAAACTTGTAATCAAGGGAGGGTCCTAGAGGTAAGATTACTGGAGCATTTAAAATCTAATGTTAAAAAAACAGATGCCACCCACAGAGCTCCAGTGTTAAATATGCGACTTGCACTGTCAGCTCCTAGACTGTCAGCTCCGAGGCCTGGCGCGTGCTCCGTGGGCTTCAGGTGGCTGGTCCAGTCCACCCGCAGGGCGCGGGGGCGGGACAGCCCGGCGCTCTCGAGTCACGTGGACGCCTCGCCGGGCGGGAGGAGGCTCCGAGCGGCCTCTGGAACTTTGAGTCGCGCAGTCGCATCACGCGAGGGCCGCGGCGGGCTGGTTTCATGGAGGCGGAGCGAGGGACGCGACGACGGTAAGTGCAGTTCTCGCGCGCCGGCTCCTGCTGGCGAGGCCCGCGCTTCCGTCGGGGCCCGACCTGCCTCGGCTTCCGGCGGCGTCGGCCTGAGCTGGCGAGGGCGGCTGCTGGTGGCCTTTGCTCCCGGCTGCTCAAGGGCCGGGAGCGGGCGGATCTGCTGTTAACGGTTAACCCGCGGGCGGTGGCGGGTTCACCTTACAGATCCGGCAGCACCCGGTACTTGCAACCTCAGTGGGGCCAGCGGGGCGTTTGCAGCGAACTTTCCTGGCATCTGTGAGCCCTGAAGCGTAAACACAGTTTCAGAGTTTCTGCAGCTCCGCTCACCTAGATTTTCTTAAAGTCCTACCAGGACAGTCCAGCACACCTAAGTAGCCAATCTCAGATGGTCTCCGTGTTCCTGAGCGTGGGCTGCTCTGTCTCCTTGCAGACCCTTTCCTGAAATGTGACAGACAGCAAGAAGTCAGCGCTGCTACACACTCAGAACTGTAGTAAGGACCTTCGAGATGACAGCTAATTTGGCAGCCTGTCCCATGGCCGGGTCCTGCCTTACACTCCACGTCTAGCGAAGTGGCATGTGCCTTAAAGATGCAGACTTTGCAGCACAGAAAAAAATTAGCCATTTGTCCCCCCAGTCATCCACTTGGAATTCAAACCCAGATGGGCCATTCTGGTGATGACAGGTTTCTTAATGCCACACACTATGATAGCGGATTCCAGAGGGCTAAGGAATTTTGTTAAATTACTAGGAAAATTTTCTGTTTTAAACACTTATTGCCGCCAACCTTGGATATTAGTGTCACTAAATTAAAGCCATCATCATCATCTTTGTTTTTGCTTTTAACGTATTTAGTTGTTTTGCTAGGGTTTTGTGCCTATAATATAATTTATTGGCAGGCCATGTGTTTTTATACATCTCTGGATGCTACTTATGTGAAATGTTAGAATTTATATATCAATCTTCATAGAATTTAGTCTCACAAGATCTGGGGTTGAATCTTCACTGCTACATTGTAAAAAGCTTTAAAAAAAAGATAACGTTAACCATTTCAACATATGGTAATTGCTAATACCCATTTGGCGGTTTTGTGAGGATTTATGAATCAATTAATATGCAAAGTACCCAAGAGGTATGTATTCACTGAAGAATAGCAAGTGTTATGTAGTAGTGTTCTGCTTTCCAAAGAGATAGGAAAACTACTATGTAAGGCATTTCTCTTCCCTAATCCTAAAAGCAAAAGAAAATGGAGCTATGCATTCTAACAATGTGTTGGCCAAGTCCCCAGACTTAGTAAAAAGCACCATAGTTAGTGTTCAAGAGAACAACTAAGTTACTTTAATTTCAGGCTTCTTTGGGCTTGGTGTCTTACAGAAACGTAAATGACTTATTTTTACATATATAAATTAGAAAATTCAACTAGAATATTCATTATGCTGGAAAAGTATGTCATAGAGACTGAGGGTTCATTTAGCTAATTTGTTATTTTATAAGTTAACACTATTAGGAACCTAATCTTAGCCACTGGCCAAAAATATATTTCATGAATATTGGTGGAACAAAAACAGCTAAGTTTTTTAGAAGCAAGCTTTTACAATCTAACCTCTAACTGGGTAAGTGTTTTGTTTTTCACTTTCTTTTTATTCATTTAAGATTCTCCTCTTTTATAGCAGACTCAAAATAGAGGAAATGTGTGGGAGCATATGACAAACTAACAGTAATTAAGGTGTACACATGGACTCTTTTATTGTCTGAATGGCCGATGATCTTCACAATATTTAATTAAGAACACTATGGTTGTTAATTATAAATAGTCAGAATATATCATAAACAAATAGTACCACTTATGATGCAGAGAGGGAACAATTATTTGAAGAATGAGATAATATTCTAAGCAAAATGCAAGTCTGTAATCATAGTTCTCTGAAATCGTTATCATTAAACCCCAGCCTTCTTTGCTCATTTCTTATCAGCCACTGCAAAATTCACTACAGTTTTCTTTAGTTATGAGCAAACATGACAAATACTCTGAAATTTGAGGGAGGGGGAAGGACTAATTAATTTTTGATGCTACGCCACATCTCATATATGTTGTTATTTGCATGATATCAGTATTTCTTTTCAAGTACTAGCTTGGAAAAAGGAAATTAAAAAATTATTTCCCCCTTGTAGGGCAAGGTTTTGATATAAGCTGGATAGTAATTTCAAATAGTTTGTTCATTGTCTATGCACAGCCACATTCTACAGGATAAAAAGTGTATTTAAAACCTTTTTGATTTTGCATCATTTGCTACATAAAAATATAAAGCAGAAAACAAGTTAAATATTGAAGAGTAGTTTTAAATATAAGACTGAATGTGATTTTTGGAGACATGTAACAAGTTTTGTTTACTAAATCCCTTTGCTTTTGTTTATAAAGTTACCTTATATACACATTCATACCCATAAGTAACAATATTGCTTGGTTTTTCTGTGCTGTACTTACTAATAAAGTATACTCTGATTTCTTTTCTTTCTTTCTTCCCCCCTTTTGGTCATTTTAAAGTCCTTTTTTGGAAAGTAATCCAAACTGGTTAGGGCATGCTTTTTTTTTTGGCAGCAATATATTATTTCACAGTTGACAGCATTCCACTGAATGCACATAAAAACAATTCATTCTAATATTTGTAGATTTTGAGTTGCCCCTTGTATTTTGCTCTTTTGTCATTTTTGTACAACATGTCTTATGATGTACCTGTCACATTTCTCTGAAATATGCTGAGAGTGGGATTATTTGGTCATAGATATTTTCAATGTTACTAAGTAGTACTAGACTACCAGTTGCTCCAAGTCTTCGCCAGTATTTGGTATAATTTTTTTCCAGTCTGGTGAAAATAGTATGACTTTGTTTTACATTCTTTTTCACACGCAGGGATTTGAACATCTAATCTATGATTATTGCTATTCTGATCTCCTCACCTGTGCAATGTTTGTCTTTTGCCCATATTTCTGTGGTTATTTGGCATTTTCTTACTGATTAAGACATTCTTCATCTATTCTGAATCTTAATCTATGGTTGGTTATATGTACATTTCTTTCCTTTATTACTTCTCCTGTTACTTGTGTTCTCATTTTTCTCATCACAACCAGCCCATTGTGTGTTCTGCCACAAGATGTGATACAGATGGCATGCCCAACTCTACGGAGGTAAATATTATGACTGATCAATTTGTGTCCTGTGGGTACCTGCCCAAATCAAGTAAAACCAGATTAACTGTTTAGACATGTAGTAATCCAGTCTTCTGTCCACAAACCCAGAAAATCATAGCCATGGTCTCCTTTGCCTTTTCTTTGAAACTATTTTTTATTGTGAAATGATTCTTTAACACAGCTTATGTGTTAGTTTTTTCCATTCTTTAAAAAAGTAACTAGGTCAGTCAGAATAAGGGTTGACCATGCAAACTTCAGTGTACAAATAAGACATCTGTAATTTCCTGAACTTAATTCAGGTAGTGCTCTCCTCGATATGTTGAATTCAAAGTTCCTGTCACCCCATCAGCACACACGCACAAATATCTCGTTTGGGAGAGCAGACTTACATCATACCTGATAACTGTCTTCCTCCTGGTTTAGCACTGCAGTTCTCACAACAGTGACCTGTAAATTCCTGTTTTCTAAAGCTCACTGAAATACTAAAACAGAGATTTTAACTTTGGAATAATAGTTTTGTTTTATTAAATAACCCATGCTGCTTTATTTCTGACGTTGGCAAACTTTCAGCAGTCACATAGGATAAAATAAATATTGAGAGAAGCCATAGGGAAAATTTTCTGCAGAGTGCTGAAAACTGTTGCCCCTGCCATGTAACACATTTTTCCACTGTTGGGAAAGTATCTGTATAATTTGTAACCATTCTAAGGTCAGCATATTAAAATCCAAGTATGCCCTTTTAAATAAGCTGAATATATGTATTTGTATGTAAAATGTTAACCTAACATTTGAGTAAAATTAAAATGGGAGGTTCCTGTTAATCAAGGAAAGACCCATCCTCATTCTATATAACTTCCTGATATGAAAGTATTGCTGTACTTGAAGAAGATATGGATTATGAAGAGTTATCTTTCTAAAATTAGAATATTCATTTGAAGTTGGCGTGTGGTTTACAGTCTTGTCAGATATCTTGAGTTGGAGACAGCTGTGTGTGGTCTAATGTGGGGAGCATTCCATGCAAGCCTCCTCTTTTTTAACAGCTGCTGGGTCTCTACAACTAATGTGGATAATCATGTCCTTTCTTTTTCCACATGTAATTCCTCATCTTGTATAAGGCAGAATGAGCACTTTTTAAGTGTCTGAATCACATAAACATTGATAAAATAATGATGTTCTTAAAATAGAAGTGAAAATGAAAATGTAGGGTAATCTAACATTGCTACAATGGAACTTTTATATTTTGTTTTGGAACATAGGAGATTTTAAGACTCAAGAGTCATGTTGTGATAAAAATGCATACATATATGTCTGTGAAAAGCTGCTTAAGTGTTTAACTTTGGATTTTGAAGAATAAATACTAAGTGCTGTACAATTATATAGATGAATCATCTTGGTTTAAAGACTTGAACCTTGAACCAGTCCCAATGAACTTCCCATTAAGAAGTTTCTTAGTTTTCAATTTTTTCCTACCTTTTGTTCTTAAAAAAAAAAGCAAGAAAAAAATAAATAAAGTGTTTTTAAGACTACTTGGTGAAAAGAATAGAAGAGTGGAATAGAAGATGATCTTTAGAAATAAGGAGATGGTGGGGGGAGAGTTGTTAATCATATTTTGAATGTGAGCTCTTACTTGGATGCTAACTAGTATTTGATTTCAAGGAGAGTGGATGATAATGGACTAAGTGAAATTAGAAGGAAAAGAGTATGGGGTAAGTTCAGCTCTCTATGGACCAACCAAAGATTCAGGACATAGTTTTGGAGGAAACTTGTTTTCATCATATATCTTTCTTTGTTTAATACTCAGAGGAAGCCTGTGTTGGAGTCTGTTTTAATTCATTGTCTGCTTTTTTGCTGGGTTCCCATCTATTTGCCATTCGAGGAGAATATAAGATAGGCAAGGAGTAGTCAATAAATTTCATTTGTTTGGCAACTCTGTTGGTCTTGCCTCTCTTCAGCCTCTCTTTCACTTGGCCTTTACATGTTGGTGTGCTTCAGGAATTGACTAGTTAGTCCCTCTCCCCTGTCTGTATTGCCTCGCAAATGAGGCTGTTGGATTTCTCAAAATGAAAATTCCCAAATTTCTCTTCTCTAGTGATTCTCAAATCATCTCATAAATCCATTGTTGATTCTATATCCTCCCGTGGATGTCTGGTAGATATCTCAAACTTGATATCTATGAAACCTAGTTTTTAATTTTCCACCCAAATATCATTTTTTCTTTAGTTTTTCCCATTACACCTAGAGCTTTACAACTATTTTTAAATTTCTTTTTCTGTGACTCCCTTATTCCAATTAATCTGTGCCTCACTCAGGATTGTCAGTGTAAAAGCAAAATAATACCTTTTTATATTAGTATGTTGGGGATTAAAAGAACCAAATAAATGTAAAGTTTTAAAATAGTGCTCAGGAATCAAAAAAGATAAATTCATGCCATTTGTGGCAACATGGATGAAGCTGGAAAGAATCATGCTTAACAAAATAAGCCAGAAAGAAAAAGAAAATACCAGATGGTTTCACTCATAGCAGGAGTGTAAGGGATATAAGGGGGTGGGGGGGTGGGGAATAATTATAATAAAGTAAAAATGAAACTCAACAAACAACTATAAACCAGAGACATTCTACAGGGGTGGAAAGGGAAATAGGATCAAAACTGGGGTGGGAAGAGAATAAGGGACTATGATGATGGCACATGGGTGAAGTGGTGGTGGGAAGTCCATGGGGATTACAACTGAGATGAAAACATGCACAAAATAAAGAATGATGTAAAAATATATATACAAAATAAATTTTTAAAAAAATAGTGCCTAACATGTGGTTAACACAAAATAATTATAACTATAGTTATTGTTATTTTTTCTCCCTCAGAGACTGTCTTCTCTCCCATGGACTGCTGCAGTAACTTTCTCATGTCTATGCTTCCACTCTTATTTTGCCGTGGTCCATTCTCCACACATTGACATTCTTTTAAAAACGTTGCATCATACTTGCCTGCCTTGGACCCTTCAGCCTTTCCATTGCTCTTTCTTCTCTTAAAGATTCATTTATTTATGCATACAAGAGCTGCGGTGTGTGTGGTGGGGGGGGGGTGTGTGAGAAGATTCACCAAAGACAGAGTAGAGAGCAGAACAGGTGGATTGACTGAAATACACTGCTGAGGGGAGCAGTGGGTGAGATAGGAGAGGTCTTCTGAGCCATGTGGGTCAGCTCTCTGGCAGGGGATCAAACTCACACCACAGTGGCTGCGGATAGCTTCACAGTGCTGTGTCTTTAACCCCTGTACCACCAGGAAGGCCCAGCCTTCCCACTGCTCTTGAAACAGACTCCACACACCGTGTATTCTATATGTGCTACCAGTCTGATTATGCTCTAGTCTCCTTTTCATTCCTCTGTAACCAAGCCCAAGCTTTGTTTTATTTTTTCCTTCAGGTTTTAGTATTTACTGTTTTTCATACCTGGAATTTTCTCCCTCTGGCTCTTAGCATGTCTGTTCATTTGCATTTTTCAGGTTTCAGTTCAGTTACCATCTCAGAGTCACAGTCCCAGGCTTTCCTCTGAAAAAAATGGCTCCCCCTTTGCTCTCATATGAATCATTTTGTTTCCTTCATGGCACTTCTAATTGCATTATTTTCATTTCTGTTATTACTGATCTCACCAACTAGAATATAATTTCCAAACAGGCAGAGCCCTTTTTTAATTTATGCCCTGAAGTAACAGTCACAGTGTTCAGAAAATATTTATCAAAGGAGTGATCGTCTCTAGTGAGTACAGAGACTTCATAGGAGAAGCTGAACATCCATTGTTGAACACTTTATTTTATAATTCTGTGCTAAAGATTGTTAGTAGCCACTTTTGAGAAATTTACGTGCCTGCTTTTGCAAGCCTGTATTCCTCACTAAATAGATTGTGAAGAAACTTGTCTCCATCTGTGTAGCAAAGATTAAAAAAGTAGGTTGTGGAGCTTCCCTATGACCCAGCAGTCTCACTCCTAGGTATCTACCCAAAACACACAAAAATACTGGTTGAAAAAGATACCTGTACCCCCATGTTTATTGCTGCTTTACTTACAATTGGAAAAACATGGAAGCAGCCCAGATGCCCAAAAGTAGATGACTGGATAAAAAAGATGTGGTACATATATACAATAGAATATTACTCAGCAACCAAAAAAGAGAAACACATGTCTTTTGCAGCAACTTGGATGGAACTGGAAAAGATCATGCTTAGTGAGATAAGCCAGAAAGAGAAAGAAAAATACCAGATGGTTTCACTCATAGCAGGAGTATAATGGACCAGGTGGAAAATAACAAAAATAATGAACAACCATATACCAGAGACATTTTGTGGGGGTGGAGTGGGGAATGGGATCAAAAACGGGTTGGGGGGAGGGAAATGCACGGGATTATGGTGATGGCACATGGGTGACTTGGTGATGGGAAACCCGCGGGGATTACAATTGAGATGGAAAAAAATGTACAAAATGATGTAAAAATAAACTTTTGTAATAAAAAAAATTCTAGAAATGTCACAAAAAAAAAGTAGGTTGTGATCAGCTGTTACTATGAACCTCTAATTTCCATTATACATAAAGGGATTTTAGTAGCCCTGCTCCAAGACAGTGTCCATGTATATAGAGGATCTCATACCTGAGTATTTTAGGAAGCTTCTCTTCTGTGTTTGCACATCACAGAGCGATGATGTCAGTTGCAAGACGGGGTGCTGTCCTGATGGTTAAAGATTCCCATTCTCCAATAGGGATATCTGATAATGTAATTATTAGGAAATAAGGGGAGAAATCAAAACTCTTACATGGTCTCTTCTGTGATTTTTATTTCATTACATGCAAAGATTCAAAATATGCACTTGCCTCTAGGAGAAAGCTCTTTCTAACTCTAAGATTATACATGGTTCTGTGCACTTTTTGAAATTTGTAGTCAAAATGGCCACAACCTTTATGCTGAGATGGGAAAATAATCTTTCTAGAAACTTTCTGAATGGCAACTCGAATGGAAATAGGATGGGAATAGTAGGGCAGATTTAAGGTTAGGCATGAAGAAAGAACACAGTTTTGGCAAAACAGGATTTATTCAGGAACTATCATAAAAAGAATCCTACCCCCCCCCCCCCATAAGAGAAGCTTTCAGGAAAATCCTCCACTTGAGATGCAAAACCCCTGAAACTGATGTATCTTGATCTCATGTAATTAGCACACTATGGCCATGTTCTTGAATCATACAGGTCTCAGAGTTGTATCTGAAAAAAATGTCAGTTGTCCATTCATACCAGTCACTTCCTGCTTGCATACCTGGAAGAGCTTCCTTTCCACTACAGGAAACAACCAAGCTAAAGGCTTAAAACAATACTGATACTCAGATGTTGTTTAACATTTGATTTAACAGGGCATAAATAATAGTGAAACACTAGCCTGAACTTTGTGCTTGAAGTGAAACTACTGTGAGTCTAGCCTCAGATTGGAGAGTCCTTATATTCATTCTGGCAGACTTTTAAAAAATTATCACTATGATCTCTGTCACTCTCAGAGAAATCAGATTTATGACAGACTCTGAGTCCAATCTAGTGAAGTCTACTTGCAGTTATTTTTTTTTCTCTTTTTTTAGCTAGAATGGATCTTAGTGGCTCTGCTCAAGATCCTGAAATGAAGGAATATTCTCCAGTCTGTGTTGGCAGAGAAGATGACATTAAAAAAATGGAAAGAATGACAGCTGTTGTCCATGAAAGAGAAGTGGTTATTTTCTACCATAGAGGAGAATATCACGCTATGGATATTCGCTGTTACCGTAAGATTTTCTTTTTATTGATATGTTAAGGTTCTGTTTTTAATTTGTAAACCTTTTTGTTTTCTAGACACAAACCTATTAGAATTTCTGATTTTTAGTGACTAGATGTAATATTCAATTCCCTTTCAGATTCAGGAGGACCTTTACATTTGGGAGAAATAGAGGTAGGTAAAATTCATTCTATTCTCAACAAACTCAGATATTTTCTATTTTTTGTAGTTCCTATGCCATTTTTTATTAAAATATTTGGATCCAACCTATATTTTCATGCTCTGAGTAGAATTTCTAACATTCTAGGAATTCACACATTACCATCTAAAGAAAATTATTTCACCTGTAAATATCAGGAATATGCATGTTTTCTGATCTAGCAATTACACTCTCATATATCTACTCCACAGATAAAATTGAACAAATGCTTTATACACACACGCACAGCACACACATACATATATACAGATGCTACCTAAATGAGTGGGTGGGGTGAGGGGGAGAAAAAGAGGAAAGAGACCTAGTGGGTTATAGTGGAGGATTCTGGGGTCTTTGGAGGTGGGCATGGTGTGATGACTTACATCTGAAGAGGTGTGAACCTATAGCCCTAAATCATATACAGTGTCATAAACCAATGTTACCTCAATAAAAGTTACCCCAAAAAATTTTTAAGAAAGTAAAATATTATAATAAAAAAATTTTTTTTGAACAACAAAAATGACTTGCTTCCTGGCCATGGTAGGTGTGGTCAGCAGAGTCTCTAGCTTGCTGTGCCTAAAGCTCCTTGGATTTGGCCTGAACGGCAGAGAAGTGCTTCAGGTGCTCACAGTGATAAAGCTGTTATACTCCAAATCAATTGTTAGCTTCTTTCTCTTCCTTGACTTTCCTACTCTGTAACTAGGTTTTTTTTTGGATTATCTCTCAAATAAACTACAGAAGACGTGTGGGGGGGAGGGTATGAGATAGAGAGAAGCGAGATACAAGATAGTCATTAATGAGGCAGATCTATATATAATGGTATGGAGAGATGTCAACAATATATTTTGAGTGTTATAAAGCTACTTATAGAAGAATAGGTCTAATATAAATATATAGATATTTTGAAAGAAAGCACACTTTGAAGGTAAACTGAGAAAGCAAAGGGGAATTATATTTTCTTATATTCCCAAACTCCTTGATTTCCTGTTTTGTGAAACTGGTGATTTTCTCCCCCCCCCCTTACCCCCATATAAAGTAAAACTGGAACTTAATATTTCATTCTTTTCATACTTGATATCTGTCTGGGTCCATTCCTGTCCTAATGCTTAGGGACATACTTGTGAACTATGGAAACAGAAATGTTTGCTAGCCATACAGTAACAGTATGCCTGTGCTGAAAAATGCAAGCTTGGTATGTTGTGGAAGAATTTTCCTCAGTTTCAGACCATAATGAAAGCTGAAAATACAGAATCCTGGGCCCTACCCTAGACTTACAGAATTTAAACAAGATTTGAATTTAAACAAGACCCAGGTGATTCTAGTGTTCTTTAAACATGTTTTTGAGACTTCTGTTTTAAAACAGTTAAAAAAGAAAAAAATGGGAATTAACTGGATCATAAAGGGCTTTTCAATTAACATCCATAGTCATGCCTCTAGTGACCTCTTAATTTATATCTAAAACTTACCAGTCTACGTAGCCAGTAGCCAGTTCAGTAGCCAGTGAACATTGCTTTAGCTGTACTTGAATGCTTTGTTTGTAAAGGAAGTGACATTAATGTCTACTAAAAGCAGCACAGGCAGTCAGTCACATGTGCTAGTTTCCTGTACTAGTTATCTTCTGGTAGAGCTCTAACAGACTAGGTTTCTAATAAACTGCAAAAGTACTCGATGACCACTCAGATAAGGTTGGGAGAGATACAAGGAAGCTGGCCTATTCTTTAACCTGATTCTTCTGTAAGGGGTTCTGTTTTGAGCCCCAGATTTATCATGAAAGAAATATGAGACTATTAAATATTATTTTCTTCCTCAGGATTTTGATGGACGACCATGTATAGTTTGCCCCTGGCATAAATACAAAATTACTTTGGCAACTGGAGAAGGACTGTATCAGTCAATAAACCCCAAAGATCCATCAGCAAAACCCAAGTGGTGCTCCAAAGGAATAAAGCAAAGGATTCATACAGTAACAGTGGACAATGGGAATATCTATGTGACTCTTTCTAATGAACCATTTAAATGTGACTCTGATTTTTATGCTACTGGAGACTTCAAAGTAATTCAGACTTCTTCCTGATAAAGTTATATGGCAATGACAATTGTGTACATTTTGCAAATATTTTTGAAATAATTATGGATGATTTTTCCAACATAGGTGTATTTTATTACTTTTAAAACTAAGAAATACCAAGAGAGTTAAAGGTACATATACTTAGTGTGATATAAGGATTATCAGGATATATTTCATCCTCTGGATTCATTAGAAAACCTGAAGGTTAGATGTTTAGAATGTACAATTTAAAAAGGACAAAAGAAAGTAAATGGAATAACCCAAAATGAAAGGGTAAAAAAGAAAGGCCTCATGAGAAATAGATTGTCTGGGAAAAGAAATTCCTATTTAATGTAGTAGATTTTGTCATGGAAAAGTTTTTACACAAAGTAAATAGGATAGTATAGTCACCCAACTTTAATTGTTAGCATCCCTCCTTTCTTGCTTCATTGATTCTCCATCTCCCTATTTAATCATTATTATTACATTTTAAGATAAAATTTAATTATGTTGAAATGCTTTAATCTTGTTTAATTCTTCAAAATATAGTTTAAAGTTTAGACTGAAAAAAAAATCCCTCCCCAAATGAGAACAGTTTATATGCTGAATCTAAAAAAAAGAAACCAATGTACTAGACATCAAAACCAAATCAACTGACTCACTTTCTCTCTGGTAAAGTTTCCCATTGAGTGATCTAAAGTACAATGAATGCCTACATGAAATTTTCAAGTAAAGTTTTCTTAAAAGGTTGAGCACCTTGTGCATGTATATCCAACTGTCTCAGGTAAATACTACAGAGAGAAGAGTTGTAGGGTGTTGTTCTCCAGAGTCCTGTCTGCTGAATTCATAGCAGGGTTGATTTTTAGTTGTTCACTCTGCCTTTACCCTGCACGTTATTTATGACATGGGCTGTTCTGGTTGCCAGGTGCCCACACAGTTCTAGTTGTTAAATACTCAGAATTACACCCTGGGTGATGATCACACAAGGCATGGCAGCATACCATAGATTATACAAGTAAATTGGACCAGAAAGAACAAGGATGAACAGATTATGAGTTTGAGAAGAACTATTTGTTAATATTGGAAACTAGTCTCAAAGCTCAGTAATATTAGTGGCATCTAACTGAATTAAGGCTACTTAAATTGTAACAAGCATATCTGGACTCTTCCTTAGTTATTATTGTAAAAGTAAGTGAATCAAATATGTACCATTAAGACTCTGCTTACAGAAATCTTTGCTACATATTACTACATTTCCTTTTCTTTGGGGATATGAGTAACATGGTGTAATAAAACAGTTGCTACTTACTTCCTAGACTACTACTAAGAGCCAAGCTTGAGCTTTTTATAATGTTTATGGCATCAGCTACTCACCAGGAATGTATCATCCCTGAGCACATTCCAATGCATTTTATCAGGTGCTAATGTAATAGTGACCAGTCTGGTCTTAGTTCACATCCAGAATTTAAAATACACAGAAGAAACCAAAGTACCTCTTGTAGGCAAACCATGACCCTAGTTTGCAGGACCAATTAGAAATATTTTCTCTTCAGATCTGGTGGCAACAATGCATAAAACATGGGCTTGATTTCTCATTCTAAATTTGTCCCTCTAAATCTGGAAATAAAAGGTATCATGTCATGCCTGGTCCTTACATACAGAAATCATCTCGTCAGATTTGTAAATAATATTTTCTTATAAATTTTCTGAATTCTATGAATCATAGGTCCTTCACAACTTTTCAGATGAGTTATAACAACTGGTAATAGCAGATTTCAGTAGGCAGCCTGTAGACAGAAAATCAATATCTTTTTATTATCCCTGAAAAAAAGTATGTAGAATTTTGATACGGAGAGTATTTCCCTTCCAGATAAATAATTGAAAAGATACTTTAAACAAGTATTTAATAAAAAAACAAATGTATTCTAAATATGCCCATACCTACTACAAGCCAACCATAAAATTTAACCCAACAAGGGACACATTTTTTTGTTCATGAAAATATATAGTCAGCTATATATCCTACATTGAGGTTCATTTTATTTTCTCTACTATATAAATGCTAGAGAATAACATTTTTGTAGTATTTATACCCTCTTTTACCCCCAATTTTTGTTAAGAGCAGAGCAATCAGCATGTGAAAATGGAATAGTTTGGTGACATGAACTGCCACTGGATATCTCCAGCTCTGGTCAGTGATAATGTTCATATTTGCTCATTCACTCATTTCAGTAGATTGGCCAAACACAGAATGTAAAACCTGGATCTTATTGTTCAAGTTGGCAGGAAGCTTGGGGCTATCTGAAATATCCTCTGGCTTCTCTGGTAATGATCTGTAAGGTTTTGCTTTGATTTCACCTTCAGGAATCGTAGCCTTAGAAAGCACAGGCTCAGAAAAAGCTTTTTTAAGGTTGTCACTTCCACCTCTGTTTTGCCTTATGAGTTCTTCTTCTTGAAAAATTTTCTTTACCTTCTCTAGAACTGTATTAACACAGACAGTCTAGATAATAAAAAAAAATTTGAAAAGTAAGTTTCTTTTTAAGATGCTAAAACTTCTACATAAAAGTTCAATGAAATGTTTTTCAAAAGACATTAGACTAACATGTTTTAATTTAAAAAGCATTTCTTTCAGGAACCCATGGAACATGAGGTTCCTGAAAGGAGTTGATTCCTTCTTCTAATTATCGCGATCCAGAAAGAAATTTAAAATCTAGTATATTTCAATAAAGATGTGCTTTATTTTCCCCAGTGCATTAGAGGTTTTACATTTTTCCATTCACTGATTTAATTAAACATAGTATTTTCTTCAGTCCCTGATTTAATTAAATAAAAATATTTTCTGAGAGATGGACTTGTCCCCAAACATGTCAGTATCTCAAAATATTCTTTTTTTTTTTTTTTTTTTTTTTTTTACCTCACCCCTCTAAACTTTGCTTATACCTATGTGTGCAGTTGGGAGGGCATAATGTTTTTGGTAAGAATTTGTAGACTGGTAAAGAGCAGTCATTCCTACAAAAGCATCCACTTTCCCTCAAAAAAAAAAAAAAAAAAAGTCAGCACTTGAAGCTGGAATGTCCAGAAAAATAACTTCAAAATTTAGGAAACATAAGAGTGGTATCCTTTAAACTTCTCTGTGAGTTTACTGATAAGAAGATGATGACAATCAAATACTTATGACAAGCATGAAAAATAAAATCCATGAAATTATGAGAACACTTAAACCTGCTTATTTTTACCAAATAGATGCCTCAAGGAGATCTAAGAACACTTAGAAAGTTTTCTTATAGAGGGTAATAGAGGAAGGATTGAAAGTCTTGGCCTGAACAACCCCAATTTCCTTCTGATCGCTTCTTTCTTTCATGGCTGCAACTACAGACTGGGAGAATGGAAGACTACATGTTGCTTCCCTTTACTTCCTTGCAGTCAGTACGTGCTGATCAATGAAATAAAAATATGTCTACTCTTCTGATAAGTGAAATAAAATATGTCTACTAACAAGGAAGTCAGGGAGGACTTTTTAAAAATTTTTCCCCCTGTATAAAATGTAGTCTTTTGCCTCCACTTCTCTCCCATCTGCCTGCTTTAGATACTGATATGAATGTGATTCCTGAGAAGTAGTCAACAAATCCAACAACTAAAAACAATAAACAGGACATCAGGGAAGAGAGAAATACCCTGGGGTGGTGCTGACATTGTAGATCCACCAACTTGGAACATTTGTAGAGTTTTAGGAACTTGGAAGCTGCCTGACTCTGGAACTCTCATTAAATGAGATATTTAAATGTCCTTTCCTTTTAAAACACTGTAAGGTATTTTTATTACTTGAAATGTGAGTATTTCAAAGTCAGAACTAGAAACCGCAAGCCCATCCCATCTAACTGCAAAGAGTTTCATCCATTTATCTCAAATGCAATCATTTTCTATGCTTGCAATGTGGTGATAAAGTTCGCAAACCCTCTTCTATTTGATGCATCTCTTCTTTCTGCATCTATAATATTTTCTCTGTGTGTCCTAACCACTTGTGTCCCAGTCTTGGGCTCTGGGACACAACGAATGGACACAAAGTTCAGGTCTCAAAGAAGGATCCTTATCAAAGTTAGTATCTCTCTACCTTTGCTTTTAACTGATACCCCACCATCTTCTCTATCAATTATTTCTTGTCAACCAGCCTCTTCCCCCTCACTGGCTCGCCCCCTGCCATCTATAATATACTCTTATATCTTCTATCCTAATGTTTAAAAAATAAAAATCCTTGACAGTTTTAAATCTCATTTTGTGATGAAACCAATATATATTCATGGTTTCCAAGAGTCCCTAATTAAGATATGAAAGGCACATAAAATAAATATGGAAAAATTAATAAATGTCATTAAATTTAAGAACTTCATAAGAAGTTCATAAAAGAGGACATCCAAATGTCCAAGTATGCATGAAAAAAGTACTCAACCTCATGGATAGCCAAGGGAATGCAAACAACTATTATGTGCTAATACTATACCCATAAGAACAGTGAAAATGGAAAAGGTTGTATCAGCTGTCAGTGATGAGTAGAGCAACTGGGACTCACTATATGCTAGAATGAACTATAAAAACATTTTGGAAAACTTTGGCAATACCTACTAGAGATAAACTCCTATATATAGTATAGTTCAGCAATTTAAATAAAACGTACAAGAATATGCACAGCAACTTTCTTTACGATACCAAAAACTAAATAATACAAAAGCTCAATAGTGGAATGAATAGTGATGTATTTAATCAAAGGAATATACACAGCAATGAAAATCAACAGATCACTGCTTTAGGCCATACATGAATAATTTTCACAATGATGTTGATCACCAAAAAAAAAAGTGCTGGACAAAAGACAAATACAAAAGTACGCTTGTTATTATTATTTCATTTATATATAATTCAAAGAAAAGTGGTATTAGAAATCAAAATAGAAGTTGTCTTTATAGAAGTTAGTGAAGCAAGAAAACAACTTCTAGAATTATGGCATTGTTTGGCTTCTTGATCCGTGGGTACACTGATTAATAGATTTTTGTGATAATTCTTCAAGGTTGCACTTCTCTTTATATGTTATATTTTAAAACATTTAAAGGCAGGATAAATGATATTAGATTTTAAAAAAACCCTTATAATTTATAAAATCCTTTAAAGTTTTGTCATGCTTTAAAATGAACACTTTTAAATTATAGCATTTAGAATTTATGACAACACTAGTAGTATTTGTGTACCCCAAAATTATAGAACCTCAATTATGGAATGTTGTATTTTAGCCAACCCTGGCATAATAGTTGGAATAAAATAACTATAGCCAAAAAAATCAAAACCAAAGTGTTTTGATAAAAAGTCTTCAAGTAATAATGAACAAAAATAAAATACATTTATCTATGTAAATTAATTTTTGGTAGGCTGACTTGGCTCCTCAGAAAAGTAAATTCTTAATGAAAAGTTTATTTTATGTAACGAAAGAATAGTACTTTAGTTTATAAATAAGTAATATATATCTTCAACATGACATAGAATAAGCATATTTACTTCTACATTCTAATAATGTTCTTACCAAATAAATTAGTGCAGCAAATGAAGCATATATTATGCTGGTTAAGACAGTCTTGGCTGGAAAGGAAATGATTTCAAACAAAGAACCCTTTCTGACCTGAAAAGACAGAAAATTATTTTCTTATGAAAATAAGGTTTTCCATATCATAGTATTAAATTTTCCAATGTTAAGTAAAAGGAGAAGTTAAATATTTCTGGAAAAAAATCTTTTACTTTGGATTTGTCTGGTTTTTTTTTTTTTACCTTTTAAGACCATTAACTTTTACCCCTTTATAAAAAGATACTTTCTATTTTGCAAATCAAACCACTATGAACAACCCTATTAAAAAAAAATCTTGCATTTCTGTTGACTTTTTTACAGTAGGTGCTCACTAGAGGGTGCCACTGTGCATGCCAGAAAAACAGTCTTTTCTTTGTTTAAATTCATTTAATTATTCTTCACTAAATTATTCACCTCTTCAATTAAGCAAACAGCAATCAAAATACTGAACACTTCCTGCAGATTAATGACCTGCTTGAAAAGTTAATCATGAGACTGCTGAAGGGCAGCATTAACCTTAGATGATCATTAAGCTTCAGGAAATACCATGCTCATATCCAGCCTGCATTTTCGAAACACAGAGGTTTAGACCAATAATAAATTTGTCTCTCAAATGTCTCTAGCTTCTGGTAATAGAAAGTGTCCCTGATCCTAATATATTAGTATAATATATTCAGTTTATAGGCTGTCTCTGTTGCCTTGAGCAGGGTATGAAATGAGGACATTAGGAAAAACATTCCCTTCCCATTTAGCAGCAAAGTGGCAGTCAGCCATGTTCCTCTGGAGAAAAAGCCAAGCCCTCAATGACTTCAACAAACTCCCAGAAGGTACAGTCTGTAGCTAATAAAATCATGTAAATGCACAGTACAAATGCACACAAACTAGAAAGAATATTCTGCACAAATTCATTAAAAAGTTATTTATAAAAACTGGACAACTGACACAGATAGCCATAGGATTCGGTAAATTCTACAATATCCACTCACTGATGTATTGCAGTGTTTGAAAAGATGCTACTGAAGGACCCCTGAAGCATTAGAACAAACACCACTTCCATAGCATTATGTACTTGGTCCTTGCAGAATACAGTTTTTGCTTACAGCTGCATTACCAAATGAAGAACAAAATTACCCACCACAATTTCCCTTCTCTTAAGTAATGTGTGGAATTCTGAAACCAAGAGAACTAATCGGACTAGTAGCTAACGGGGAGTGGAATTTGTTTTTCCTTATTTTCCAGTTTTTAGCAACTCCTAAATGTAGAGAAAGGTGGGGCATTTTAAGTCTGCTCTCTTCCTAAGTCATTCTGGAGCCTCCCTAGAGATCCTGGCTTCTGGAAAGAGTTTCCAGGAAATGAAGCAGCTGCTGCTCTTTCCATGTTGCTAGAAAAATGAGAATGATAGCATGCCTTTTAATTCCACTGTTGGCTACAAGGAGACAATCATACCAGTAAAAGAAGATACACACCGACAAAATGCCTGGTAGAAGAATAAAAGATGCATGCCTTTGTGAACCGTGAGTGGCCCTTACTTGGTGGGAGGTCCGTGCTCAGTAACTGGTAGGCCATTTACAAGGAAAACAAAAATGGTGTCTGCATACACCAGAAAAAACTCGTTCTGTTACTGTTTCCCTGCGTTCTTTCCAAGTTTAATCCTTCATCTAATAGTAGTTAAAACTGATTATTCAAAGTAAATTCTGTATTTGATTTATGTTAGGGTTCTGAATAGGGAGTTTGTATATTGTCTGAGGGTTACTTTTTCATAAATACATGTTATTCCTGTAACAAATCGTCCTTGTAGAAAATACATTTCTTTCAAAATTTATGTGGCTACTGGCAAGTAGCCATTGTTCAATCTTATGACTCGCTTGGAATACATGTTTTTCATATTATAAACCACCCTGTTTCATTTTGGGCTTGCTATATGCAGGAAGAGTGTATGGTAAAAACTGAAATAAATAAGCAGAAATTTTGCAAATGGGAGGCATGTGTCTTGGCCTCATTCAGAAAGTTCATCTTAAGCTTGAATTAATTTCACATTATTTGCATTTTAAAAAGTATTTTGGTATCAATTTTATGTATACTTATTTCTTTTGTGAACTTGATAATATTCACATGTAAAATATAAAGATATTTGAACAGTAAAATCATTTCAGTCAGAGCTAGACTTCCCCCCACATAATTTGTGTTCTGTTTCTCCTAATAATTTTGCATTTCCTAAAAGTATCTGTGTTCATCTTTATTCACTATTAATAGACTAATTCACAAAAAAAAAAATGCAAACTGTAAGTCACTAAGAAAAATACAGATCCACTTTTACATGACCCAAAGGTTGGAGAATTATAACACAAAGCCCAACTTAATTTGTTTTTCAAAGCTATCAAAATGAGGGACACCAGGGAAGTAAAAGGGAAAACTCTAGCTGACTGATACACAACAAACTGTTTCAAAAAAACACTCATTGGTCTTAATCCAGAAAAGTGTGTTTTCTCTAAGTTTGGGAAAATTACATGACTCGTTGCTTAGCAACCCACACATTCATGAACACAGGAGAGGCTCCCAGCAGTGCACAGCAAAGACATCTGTTTGACTTTGTTTATTCAAGTGTTAACATCATTGTTCTTGGCTAAGCTCTCAACCAGGTGGACCAGCACAATGTCAAGTGTCTCAGCCTTTTGGCCAATCTGAAGTAGCATGTCTTCTGAACCCACTGATTCTACTTTCTAGGAATTGACCTTCTTCCCTAGGTTTTGAGTTACACCACCCAAGATAGATTCATGCAGGCCCCTTTAAGATCCTGTAGAAGTTCCTGATATTTGTAAGATTCCCAGTTTCGACCCCAAACTGAAGTCTACCTTAGAGGATTGGGGACTAGGAAGAATCTTCTCAGATAAGACATTTGTCCTGACGTAGGAAGTACAAGTTTGTTGGGATCTGCCTCTAGCACTGGGATTTTCGAAGCTGGGGGTTTTCTTCACTGTGGCCCATGCCACAGTGCCCTTAGAAAGCAAAATCAGTCACTACAAATGCTATTATAAGGAGGATTCTATTCTATCTACCGAACCTGTGGCTCTGCCAATGTCAAAGACTGTCTGAAAGCTGACGCATCTTGGCTGAAGCCAGCATTCGAGCTGATTATCTAGGTCACTGCAGCCTCTATCAGCTGCAAGCTTCACCCCACCAGACAGCTTACAAGATTAAGTAGATGTCCCATGCTATATATTTGGGTGCTGGTGCTAGTGTTGTAGAAGCCACCAGGAAATTCTCTGTTCTGAGTTTTCCATTCTGGGGGCCCATATTAAACTGTCAGCTACTGTTTTAGCCAGGCAGGACCTGGAGGGATTGAGGAGCAACATGACTTTGTACCCAGAGAGCCAGCTACAAAGGACAACTCTTAATAAGATGATCAGCACAAAAGGCTTTAACTCTCTGTGCCCAGGTGAAAAGCCACTGGGATCTCTTTAGCTCAGTTGTGTTTGTGTATTTGGGCGGTTTGTAGTTGGGACAACATATTTGAATAAAGCTGAGATAAACAAGACATGCTTTGTAACTGAGCATCCAACTAAAAAGGCCTGAGAAGTCTGTCAAGGCAGCGCCCTGTCATAGTGTCCATTCTCTAGTTACCTTGAGACCAACATTGTGTGTTTTACCTCAGAGCAAGCCAAAGGGCTGAAACACTATCTGAGTTATAGTCGGTGTCCTAATGAAAATGCTCCTTTACTTCAGCTTTGTTAGAGATATAGTCCACCTGGTGTTCTCAGCTACATAATATCTGACAGAGTTCTGCAAGAACTATTTAAAGTGCTCCAGATAGTGATAGAAACACACCTTTCCATCACCAGCTTCCTCAGATCAGTGCTGAGTCAGAGCACATGAAGAGGATCTGTGCACACATGACTTCAAATAGGTTAGCCTAGCTGCTTTCCCTCCTCCAACCAAAGTTTTCATGAAGTGATGTCCTCCACACATCCACAAAACATCCCTACACATAGCAATTCCAACTTTCATCCCTTTTACCTCAGCATATCACAAAGTCCCACTGTCAGGTAGCCCAATAATTCTTGAAGACATTCATGCTTAAATCCATTCTGGGTAAATTGAACTTAGTCACCAGGGGTAGACAGCCCAGTACTGTGTCAGGCCGGTGTGGCTGACTTCATACTCGGGTACCAGGGGTATACCACATCAAACACCCCAGACATTATTGCTCCTGTGACCTCCCATGCACTGTCTTCACTGGTATTTTGTCCTCACTGAGCTTTTCAGATTTGAGATGCTTTTTTCATTTTTGCTACAACTTAGTTTTCTCTCACTGGCATCTGATTCTCTATCTCACCAATACATATTATTACTCATGCCTAACTCTCAAGGATCCAGGAGCCCTTGACCTGAGATGGTCCCCACTCCAGCCACAGGGCTCCACTTACATTCCCTAATAAGTCATATTCTCTCTCCTCTGTATCTAACAGACACCTTTCTCTTCCTGGATTGATGCTAGTTCTTCACCTAGTCAATTTCTCCTTCTTTAATTCTGAGATCCAAACTTCTTATCTTCTACAAGATACAACATTAGCCTGCACTCTTGGACTTACATGCCCCTTCTTGATGCTATCCTTATACACTTGGACACTTTGATCTTGAATGTGCTAGTCACCTGACCTTGCTTACTGATAATCTACCTAGAACCCCTCCTACCTAAACTAGTGATTTTACATGTCAGATTTTCAATAAATATATATTAAATGAATAAAAAATCTACACTTCACTTCCAAATTAAATTTAACAATATTAACATATATAAAATATTAAGGACATCTACTTTTATTCACATGGCAAACTGAACTCGTGTGGAGCCCCTCACAAATATAAAAAATTGAAATTTTATATAAAATCAAACTCCAAAAATTTAACATAAGACTGAGTTTACAAAGAGAAGAGACAAAGAGAGGTTCGTGATTAACAAAATAGATCAGAGACAAATACAAGAAATGATTTTACTGATGGAATATAAAGAAACAAAGTAAAGGAACAGACAAAACTAAACCAAAACAATCCCCAGAAATATGACTGTGATGAAAGGGGAAGGCAGCCCAATGACTGTGAGGGAGGATTATGGGAGATTTGGCATGGGTGTGACCTGGTAACTTACATATAAAAAGGGATGCACCTATACCCCCAAATCACATATAGTGTTGCAAACCAACATTGCTTAAACAAAGATGATACAATGTAAAAGGTAAACTAAAAAGGGGAAGGAAGAAAGAAATCCCCTGTGCCATTAACAGAGGAGGAACTAAACCCACAGAAACTGTGTGAGCTAATGTCCCACGAACTCTAGGGTACACATAAGCTAAAGATTAGGACTTGCAAAACTGCCAGTTTAGTAAAGTGGGGTGGGAAAAGCTGCACTGGCCAGACCTGAAAGAAGATAAGCTGGTGTCCACCTGGGATTGGCATTGTCTCAAGGGAGATCAACCCCCACCAACTTGCACTGCACAAAGGGATCTGAAGCTATCCTGTTAGTGTGATGCAGGAAACCCCAAGTTGAAAATTTTACTTAAGGTTGCTGATATTCCTGAAACATAAACAACTCCTCTAGCAGGTTAGTTCCACCTCCAAGGTCAGAATGTATTTTTATTTTTCAAGAAATCCCTGTTGAAGAAATTAGTCTTGCTATGGTTAAAAGGAGACACAAATTCAATTGGAAAGATAATTTTCTACCACTGCATTTTTATGAGTTTTGGGAGACATTCTTTCATTGTTGTATGAAGTGGACCTTCTAATGAGGACATACTTGAATAGCAAACAGCTGTGGAAACTAGAGAAGGCATCTTCCTCGGAGAAATCTACAGATGGACTGCCCAAGATATTGTCACAGGGCACTAGCAATAAAACCGTCATCATCCTCTCCAGAGACAATTGCTTATATTCAGGATAATAATATTCTCTCTGTGTCTGTCTCTCATCTTGCTCTCATCACATCATCTTGCCCTTTGGGAGTTCAGGCACAAGGAACTGATACATGAAATTGCTCTGCTGCGTCCTTTGCTCTGAGTAATAAACAAATCTGTGTCTCATACTTAAGGTGAGAGTTCATATAACTTTAACAAATTAATTTATTGACTTGTTAGAAGTGAAAAAATCTCAGAACCTTCACAGTTTTTCCTCCTTTGACTTAGCCAAGGAGGAAAATAGGAAGACTTTGAATAATATAATGGGCAGTATCTATATCAAGATAAATGCAGAAATCATTTTCAAAGGACATTTTTTTGATCAACCAGCTATAAACTATGGCTTTAACAATCCAAAGAAAGAAAAGGTTGGCAAAAAGCTAGACCCAGAAAAATATTGCAGTGAGAATTTAAGACAATATAATTTAGCTGTGTTTCCTTATGATCATTTAAAATTCAGGAATAGGGTGTATAGTGTTTAGAGAATCTAATGCTAACAAGTGAGCCAATTTTTACTTCACAGACATCAGGTATTAAGTAGTTGAAATATCTGATGATTTCTGAAAATGTCAAAATATTTGATTACACAGATTCCTGTGTGAAAGGTCTTGTGTTCATGGTAGCCATCCATCATCCATTTTCTCATCTTCTCAAAACAACTAAGATTTTTGAGAATCATCTCTTCCTCATTTCAAATCATGTGGCCTGCATGGGGCTCCCACCTCAGCTTCAGGGATGAAGCAGATAAGAGAGTCTAAGGTCAATCAGGACATGCAATTTTCCTCCTTTAGAGCTAAGCCGTTCTCTAAGACTGAACCTCAGGACTTAGCCAGGAATGCTGGGTGAAGTACTCTTATTCTTCTATAATTGAACCTGAAAGGATGAGGCCTGGGAACAGCTGCAAGTCATCTTGTGACCATGAGCAGAAAGCAGGTCTAAGAATGGAGCCAGCCCAGGAAAGCAAAGCCAGGAGATGGAAAGAGAAACAAGATCTGAAGGCATGGTTTGAGGAACTATATCCAGCAATGTCTGAAACCATACCAACTCTGAATAATTAGAGTACACAAATAAATACATCTCCTTTTTGGTTTATCTAAGTTTTGAGCAAGGTTTTCTTTCCCACCAACAAAACAGTTAAAATAGATTCACTCTGGGCTTTAGACGCCAGACTTAAAGGATTCTGAATCTTTTGTAGCAAACTTTTAGGAATGAATTTGAAAATACCCAGATTGAAACCCAAGTTCTATGCCATAGTTCAGGGAAAAAATGGGTGCTAAAAAAGTTTTAAGACCTATTGTCCTTAATGCAACTGAGTATCAGACAAACGATATAGAACTGAGTATCAGACAAACAATATAGAACATAAAATGTGAAATATACCTAGATGTTGATGGCTCTGTGGAAACAGAATATATGAAATATATATGACACAGCTAAAGATGCTCCTTACATTCTGTCAAAGATCTTGAAAATAGACAAGGTAATGGAGTAAAAGCATTTTAAGATTTGTAGGATTTCCTTTAGGTTTGACTAAGTGAAAAGCTTATGTTTAGGTTGAATCATTTGAAATGGACAGTGCTATATAGTTCAATTTCATAAGGCAAGGAAAAAAACCCACACTACTTCTCCTTTCTGGTTTAGTTAAGCTAAAGAATATAGTATACTGAAATAAGACCACTCATTGTTCTCACCCAACTATTTTTATTACACATATAGGACAACCAAATGTGATACATTTTTATTTTTCCAATCTTGCAATTTCAAAATGGTTCCATTAAAAAAATGGTTCATATATTATGTAAATGCAATATTCACTTACCTGCCTGTTATACAGAGGTTGTTTTGGTGCATTAACTTCCCTCAGTAGACGATGAGAAATATCCCTTAATTCTAAAAGTCTACAAGCAAGCTGAGGTTCCAGAAGTTTGGCCACTGATTTGGAGGAACTTGATATGGTATTTAATCCTTGAATCAATGTTCCTCGGTTGATCTTGGCTAAAGCAACAGCCATTCTGATTTTGGATGTTTTTTGCAAGCGTTCTCTTTTCTGGAAAATAAACCTCTGAAAAGTGACTAATGTATGATTCATTAATAGATTACATTAGACCTTCACCTTGTGATACTAATTTGCTCTATGGTCTTGATTGCATAAAGACAGCAACATAATGCAAACCAAATAATATCTGGATATTATCTAATTCGTTCTATGATGGCATAATTTGAAATTTCAGCATATAATTAAGCTTATATAAGGCTATCATTTATACAACAAAACTGGATTTCATTCTATTGACTTTAAAAAGATGGAATTAAAAATAACAAGTTAGAAAATGTTATTTCAAAATCATTTAGAGTTTGCTAATGGAGTGGGTGGGAAAACCCAAATTCTCACTGCAACTCACTAACTTTTTACTCCATCACCGTGCTTTTTTATAATTTCTTGCTTCAATTTAATTAAAATTTTCTTTTTAATATGCTTTGTAGGATACACTCATGGTTACAGTTTAGCACAACATTTTCATGCATTTCAACAACAACCATTTGTTTGTGAGGATACATAAAAACAAATTCTATACTAAAAATAAAAAACCCATAGACCAATGTAACAAAAGAGCTCAGTCAGACAAACATGCTCTGATTGTCCCATTGCTAAGTTATTCAAATGGCCCACCTATATCATCTAGTTGGCATCTATCATAATATGAAAATTAAATTGCAAAGGGGTTTATATTTTAATAGAAAGCGCCCAATGTAAAATGATTTGATCATATAGTGCCAGTAGTAAAATGGGAATCTATTAAAATCTACTGCAGGTAGAGACAATTACCACACACTGCATTGTATGACCCTGCACGCAATATTCAGTGTCCAATAATTATATCCCATATCCATGTGAGTAAATCTTTAAATGAATATATGCTCTTGTTCTTGGACTAAATATCCAGAACCTAATTTACAAGTTCTAAAAATATAATTTTTTAATTCTGGAGTTTTTGTATTTTTTTAATAATTTTTCTAAATGTAAACAGATTTTATTCAAATACTGCTCAATGTTTGAATTATTCAGACATAATTCTTATTGAAAACTGTCAAAAACATTTGCCTGGTTTACATTATAAAACTTTAATGGCCAGGTGTGTATATATACATATATATGTATATATATATATATATGTATATATACACACATATGTATATATATATGTATATACACACACATATATATACACACAATACATACATGTGTTTCATACATAATATAAGTAACCAAATTATATACTAACCAAAAAACTTAAATGTTACTTCAAAAACACCTCTGAGCATTCTGATCGAAAAAAAACTTATTGTATTACCAAAACACATGACATGGAAGTCTTTTTCTGTCCACTAGAAAGAAAACCACAGAGAAATTACTTATAATGTGGTTAGACTTCATTTCTGGCAAGAGACAAGTATAGTTCCCATTATTCATTTATGTAACTTTATGGGCTATTGCTGACTTTTTAGTATATATCTTGGGGGAAGATACAACTTTGAAGCCCTATTTATTTATTGACTGATTCCAAAAATGTAAGCACAAAACATCTCTTCAATGTTAAATGGATTTTTGTCTACAATGAACATCATATATTGTTGAGAGTTAATATGTTGTAGACTCAAAATGTCTCAACTTTTATCTGGAGTAATTTTATTATTGCTATTTTTCTTTTTCTTTTCTTTTTTTTTTTTGCCATCAAAGTTAATTACTTCTCTTACTGTTCAACATTTGTCATTGGAGATAAGCAAAAGCTGTTAAAGGCTGTCAATGAGGATATATTTCTGCAGCACCTGGTGTCCCGTGGTGGTTAAATCTGTTAACATTACTGGAAAAGCCCCATTAGCCCATCTGTGGTCTAAATCCTCCTCACCAATGCCCACAGTGGTGAAAGCAATCTAAGCAGCGAAGTAGTGGGCTGCTACAATTGCTACAATTTCCAAGCCACTTTAGAGCACAGCAGCTCTTACGAGCAGTACTTTGGAAGGTAGAAGAAGCAAAAGATCACACAGGTACAATCACTGCCATCATTATGTACTCTGGTTGCAAGGACAGGGCGAGAGAAACTGCATTGTCTGCAGTATCCATAGCTCCTGCACAGATTCAATTTCCTCTGTGACCTTATGTTTTGTTGCATTAAGGCCTCCAGCTCCCAAGACTTCCTCAAAGGTAGAAGAGCGAACATAAGTTTGGTTTCACTTCTGATTACAATTTACTGTATTTCCTCCCATTATAATTTGCCGGTGTGAGGCGAGGACCCACTGAGAACAGTAGCAGGCTGCGGGTGTGCAGCTTCACCTTGCCCATCTGGACACCCCCTATTTTGTGGTTGCAAAGCATTAATAGCCTGCAGTTCCCCACTTCTTATTTTAAAAGTTTCTTTATAAACTCCTGGCCCGGCCCTCTCTAGTGGTGCAGAGGATTAAAGTACAGCACTAAGAAGCTAAAGACACTGCAGCATGAGTTCGATCCCTGCCTGGATATGACACCATCGCACAGTGTGCCCCAGACCTCTCCTGACCTGCCCGCTGCTCCCCTCAGCAGCGTGCCTCGTAGATCTGCCTGTTCTGCTCCCCATTTGGTCTCTGGTGAATTCTCTCACCACCCCTGCACCTCTGGCCTGTACCCCAGCTCTGTATGCATCAATAAGTAAATCTTTAAAAAAAAAAAATACTGCTTCTAAAAAAAAAAAACAAAACTCCTGGCCATTTGTGTATGTTAGCAGACTCACGTGAGTACTTCTATTAACCAATCTTGATTAATTCCCTAAACAGTACCCTCAATTGATATATTCCATTTTTCACCTTTTATAAAATGTCTAAAATTTTATTGCTCAAATTTTATATCTAGAGAAATCAGCTTATTGTAATTGATAATAGTTTATCTGAAATCTTCTATTGGTCAAGTAATTTGGATTGACCAAAACATAGCATTTATTACGAAAATTATTATTTTAAAATTCAAGTGCATATGCAATAATGCTTTAGCATACTATGTATTTCTTCCTATCTTAATCTTGTCAATTCATGGCTTTTCCTAATAGTCTCAACCTATTCGTAATTAGCATCATCTATTTTTCTTTTAATGCTCAAATGTTATAATTTCACAACTGTGCTTTCATTTATAGTTTGAAAAAACACTTTTCATATTTTCCTATATATCTGTGGAAGTATTATTAATTGTGACAAAATTACTTTCTGACCCCCTTTATTTTTCCTACAACTAAATACAGAATCAGCTTCTTCCCAAGAAGACCATTGTTTTTTACAAATAAAATGAGAAACCAAATGTGGACACTAGGCATATTCAGCGGGCCATTGTGGCTCTGGAAATATAAAAGTAATGGCAGGAGAAGGCTACTTACATTCCTGTAGATACAGGATGAGAAGACTTAAAAGAGAAACTGTAATGATCATTCCAATTCACTCTTACCATCAGTGAGTTACTTTTTAATTAGCTAATAGAACATTTCTAAATATTTTTCCTTTTTTTGAGCTACCAGTTTTTCCCTTTGGTCTACTATCTATGCTGCATATTTTCTTATTAGCCCATGTGTACAAATTTAATATTAACCCAAAGCAAGAAGTCCACATTTTTTTCTTTCTTTTCTTTTTTAACACTTGGCTTAAGCATCCTAGATGTGTTTGTACAGTGCATAAATTCTCTTTATCATTGTTATCAACTGAGCAGATCACCAAATACCAAAAAAAGATACTTCAACTTCCTATCACCCAACACCACTGCTCAGAAGCACACAAAATTACTTAGAGACCATTTCTCATTTCCCAAAAGAAAGTTAGGATCAATTAATCATACTGCTTCTAGAATCCTCTGCCATATTTTTCTATATTAGTACCATTGTTTGACTATATATCCTGCTTTCCCTTTTTCCTTTTTTCCAGATCCATGCCTATTTCTTTATCATCAGCAGTTTTAATGTTAACCTCCAATTTCTACTATATCAGCTTTTACTACCCTGCAGCTATAAAACCAGTCTATGAGCAAATTTTATTAAATTCTTTCTCAGAACTGTTCTAGAATTTGACCACTTTTCTAAATCCCATTACCAACATCCAGTTCATTTTAATGAGTTACCACCAGCACCTCCAAACTAGCAAATTACCTTCCTCAGTGCTCTTTCTGCTCCCACCCCTGCGTGTTTCCTGGCAGCTAGCAATATGAATAAAACATACAGCAAACCTTATCATGTTCTTCTGCTCAGTAGTGTACTGTGTGTAAAGCCAAAGGACACATAACTGTCCCTCCAAGAACTGTCTCTTCCTTACCTCTCTGGCCTCCTCTTTTTCTCTCTTCACAAGTTATGAACCTGCCAGCTAGACTCCCCTCTCAGGGGCATTGCACTAGTTATGTCTTTCCATTCATCAAGGGATGTCTCACTTCAAGTCTTAACTTGAGGATTCCTTTCTTACTAAAACTGCTTTGGACACTCCTCCGTAAGAGTTGATTGTTCTCTCTGTCTCTACTCCAAATTCATATCCCTTCTTACCAATAATCTTCTTCTTGAGACTGAAAAGCATCACTAACATAATATATAGTTATTTTCGTTGCTATTGTTTTTATACTTGGCCAGGATATAAGATCAAGGACAGTGGTATTTCTATTCATTTGCTTCATTGACCTTTCCTCAGTTTCTGAAAGCGTGGTTGGCACATATTAAGTGCTCTATAAATATTAGCTAATGGGAATGAATAAAGACTATCAGAACAATATAACAAATAATATTGAGAAACATCAGTGAAATACCAAATATCAAACTGGAAGCCACCCAAAAGGCTTTCCATGCACAAGGTACTAATTTCTACATCAATAACAGTGCCCAGCAAGAAACAGTCACCAAAGGCAAAAATATAATTGAATTATAGAACATTCTACTTATAGTCCTACTTTCATTCTATTTAGAAAGCCTAACAACACGCCCTTCCTGATAGTAAAATGAGCCCGAGTTGGGTCCCCAGCCAGGAAGTGACCCACATGGCACAACAGACCCCTCCCGACCCACATGCTGGTCCCCTCAGCAGTGTGTTTCAATCAGTCTGCCTGTTCTGCTCCCCAGTGTCTCCAGTGAACCCTCTCACCCACCGCACCTCTGGCCTCTACTCCAGTTCTTATATGTGCAAATAAAAAAAATAAATCTTTATACCACCTCACCCCAGTAAGAATGGCACATCTTCAAACAACTAGCAACAACAAATGTTGGCGAGGTTGTGGAGAAAAAGGAACTCTCCTGCACTACTGGTGGGAATGCAAACTAGTACAACCACTATGGAAAACTGTTTGGAGGTTCCTCAAACTGCTAAACATGGAGCTTCCCTACAACCCAGCAATCCCACTCCTAGGTATCTACCCAAAAGACACAAAAACACTGATTGAAAAAGATACCTGCACCCCCATGTTTATTGCTGCTTTATTTACAATTGGAAAAACATGGGAGCAGCCCAAATGCCCAAAAGTAGATGACTGGATAAAAAAGATGTGGTACATATATACAATGGAATATTACTCAGCAACCAAAAAAGAGAAACACATGTCTTTTGCAGCAACTTGGATGGAGCTGGAAAAGATCATGCTTAGTGAGATAAGCCAGAAAGAGAAAGAAAAATACTGGATGGTTTCACTCATTGCAGGAGTATAATGGACCAGGCGAGAAAATAACAAAAAAAAATAACAAAAATAATGAACAATGTGGGAGTGGGGAATTGGATCAAAAACGGGGGGGGGGGGGGAGAAATGCACAGGTTTATGGTGATGGCACATGGATGATTTGGTGATGGGAAACCTGCGGGGATTACAATCGAGATGGAAAAAAAAATGTACAAAATGATTTAAAAATACACTTTTGTAAAAATAAAAATAAATAAATAAATAAATAAATCTTTAAAAGAAGAAGAAACCCTGACACCAATACAAATAACTTGCAGATGTCACCAGGTGCACCCCAGCAGTTCTTGCCCCACATTAAAAGCAAAAAAGTGGGAATTCAGGAAAATATATCCACAGATGTAAAAATCCATTTTTGCAGGGATTCAAATATTTTCGTTTACAACTCTCAGCATTGTGATAGATGTTATGTGCAAGCTAATTACAGAATAAAACACATTTCATAATTCAAACCCACAAAAGATCCATTTATCACAAAAGATTCTCTCATTCAAGTGAAGATCATATGAATTGAATTTATTTTCCTAACTGTAATACATATTTTTCCTTTGTTCAGGTTTAAAGATTTCATGTTTTAAAGTCCTTACTTGGAAATCATTCGTAATGACAAATGTAAGTCTTTAAAAACTACTTCTTACTAAAGGAAGTGGTGATTGGGTCCTGGGCCACGTGGGAGTGAGTAAAAGTACAGAACCTCAAAGCCACAAACTCAAGCTCAGATATTTAAAAGTGACTTTCTCCAGACTCAGAAAGAAAATTTCCTTCAAAGTAGTCAGCCATGAAAAACTATTTAATGACTATTCTTCTGGTATTTTCCTCTATAAACATTCCATTCTTTTCTCTCTTGAAATATATATATTTTTTAACTTCAGGCCAGTGAGACAGGTCTTTTCTAAACAAATGCCTATATAAACAATATTTAAATACTAATCATAAAATTTAGAGATCTAAAATAGAACCCAGTTAGTAAAGCCCTCTACATAGTCTTAAGACCACTCCTTTCAGTATTATTGGGAACTATAGATCATCTTGGAAATAATAAAATTTATTACATTTTACAATCTTTTAAAAACAATCTAGTTAAGAACTGAGTATTAGCATTTTTTCTATGTAATTTTTTAAGAGTAAGTAACTGCCATGTTTTATAACACCTCTTATCTAATCAGGTTTCTTGCTAATCTCCACAACACATTCTTCAAAGTAAATAGTATAAAAGGAACAATGTACGTATTTTGAAAATAAAAAAAATATTTTTATATTTGTATTCTCCTCTAAGTGAGGAGTTCTTATAGTTAAATGCTTTCTTTGGGGTCAGCACATCAACCTGTTTCACTGTAAACTATGGATTTAGTTCAGTAAATAAGGATAGGAAGAGATGAAGTGAGCTGTCATGAAATTTGCATTAATTTTATTAAATAAAACACTGGTTCCTCCATGTTTGCATTGTGGAAGATACACAACTTGGAGGGGCAATGGGGCTTCCATTCCAGGCCCATATCTAGCTTCCTAGGGTTCAGCTTGAGGATTTCCTCAATAATTACTTCCACCACTATGCTGGCCTTAAAGCTTTTCCTCTAGAACCAGCACAGTCGCTAACCCACATCTTTCCTTACTCCTCTACAACAAAGCCAAGAAAAGCCTTCAATGTTTCCACCACTTTATACCAAGATTAGGGAATGCAAAATGGAGACACAAATAGATACTAAATCTAAGATATGAAATCACAAAGTCTGATTTGCCCTAAAAAGATCAGCAGCTTTTAAGCCTTACCCTACTCTGCTTAACTTACCATCATCTAGAGCTTTCTATTTTACATTAAACAAAGATTAAGTAAACAATGCAATTGTACCTACAAGAGGTCCATATTCCCAATCTAATGGCACAGAGTCTTTAAACTTTATCTATCCATCTGACTTCCTTGTCTACAATCTGTCTGCTTTCCATAGACACCTAGTGAATGAATCCTGAAATACTTTCCTATACTTCAAACACTATTCTCAAAATCAAGCATTCAATTATTGGTATGATACTGAAAATACAATATCCTCATTACAATCCTTTCCAGAGTTATGAAATCATATTACCTGCTTAGACCGCGATCTTACGATGGTAGGGAAGTCATCTTTAAACTCATCTATAAGGTCCACGATTACTTTCTGGATCCCTTCAACTAAGATAAAAAGAAGTTAGGGCCAGGTCATGCTCCAGTAAGGGAAAATGCTTAACTGAAAACATCCCTTAAGAACAATTCAAAAGAGCATGGAACTGGATCCAACTTCTAGGTGACTGGAAAAGCAACCCTAAGGTCTTTATTCCCACTTGTTTCCCATACCCACATCCCCTCTACCACAGATTATGTGTACTTCTTCCAGAAAAGTTCTTCAACACCTGCCCGCATATCCACCCAATAGGTTTGATTGGCATGATGAGCTCCTGCTTGGGTTCCTGTGCTTGGCAAGCTCACAGGCTGGGTAATTGTCCTACTCCACCATTACTGAGGGGCAAGGACAGCCTTCTACTCAGAAAAGCAGACAAGGACAGAACCTGCAACTCACCACTGGAATTCTTTGTTACTGCACAATGAGTCTCTGAGAACTTGGTACAGAATCCTCTGAATCACTCTGGCAGTGAAAGGAGGAGCAATATGTTTGAAGGTCTACGAGGAGGAGAAAGGGGATGGAAAAATGAATCACATGGAGGAGTTCGGCAACATAATTTGAATTTGTCCCAATTTCTGCAGTGATACCTCAATGAATGGATCATCTGAGAACAAAGCTCCTTTTGAAAAGAGTTGGCATATGTTTTAAAAGAAATGCTTCACATAGAGTGCCAAGAGAAAAAGAAACATGAGCAGTTAATTCAGAAAGACTTCTAAACAGAATGACTTGCCTTCACCCAATGAGGACCACTAGGTTAACCCAGGCAAAACTGCAGTCTTTATCTTCTTTAAAATGTCAACCTTTTCTTCTTTATATTTCTCTCTCTATTTCAGATGACCATTATTTTCCCAATATCAAATTGGAGAAGAGTTCCCTGGCATGTAGACTTGTCTATCCGGCTGTATTCTAGTTAAGAGTTGTTAAGAGTTAAGAGTTGTTTAATTCAAATCCCATTTTAATTTGAAGTCTCTGTATTAATTACAGCTAGGTCATTTTCTTCATCAAGCACAGAGCTGCGGTTGCTTGAGGTCTGTTCACGGGAATTGTTTGGGAAGGAAATATTAATCCAAGGATTTCTTCTAGCATGTGAGACCTACAGGATTCTGGTTTTCACATTGCCATTAGTCCGACTATGAGAATAGACTCCCCCAAACCATAACAACCTCTCCTCTCCTTAACACACTGCTTCCTCCATCCTGACCCCAATGCTAAAGGTAATTATGCCTTAACATTTAAAAGTACAAGTCACTGTCAGAAAGAAAACCTTATTACACCTTGATGAACAAAAACACTGGGAGTCTGTATGATAATGAAACCCTTTAATGGGCATATACATGGCTATCAGAGTCTACCTTGAGCATCACCTGATAGCCCCTCCTCTCTCTGCTCTTCTGTTCTGTTCATTGCTCTCACTGACCCCCTAATCATTTGCATCCATCTACTCATCCCCCAGTGTCCCAGCTCCTAATTAGTTTCACCTTTTTTTTTTTTATCAATTCTCCTACCTTCCTAGGCATCTTATAAAATTAACAAAAACATTTTTCAGGCTATTTCCCACACTTACTGTATAACTGACTGTATTGTGTGAACAAATTTTTTTGTCTTTTCCTTACCCTCTTCCTGGAAAGGATGCAATGAAAAAAGGAGAGGAAATAGAGTAAAAAATACTTTGCCACACTTATTTTATATTTGTTGCCCACATCTGATAACATATTGGTTATTAGTTAATTATATTTTTATCTTTCAAGATTTCTTTTATTTAGCAAGAACTGAGCTCTAGGCCAAAGGTGTATGTGTAGGGGGGGGAGTGAGAGAATTCACCAGAGACCGAGTGGGGAGCAGAACGGGTGGATCTACTGAAATACACTGCTGAGGGGAGCAGTGGGTGAGACAGGGGAAGGCTTCTGCATCATATGTGGGTCACCTCCTTGGGTAGGTATTGAGCTCAGGCCACAGTGGCTGGTGATGGCGTGATAGTGCTTAGACTTTAATCCCTACACCATTAGGGAGGCCCTAATTATATATATATAT